GGAAAAATATCATTTCCTTTATATTAATTTTTGTTACAACTTTCTTCTCCACTTTAACGTCTCCCATTCTTATTTGTTTTCTTTCACAATTTAAACACTACTAGCACTAATATATCATTCAAATACACATTTACATGTGATTTTCACTTTTTGCACAATGAATGACTATCAGTTGCACATTCATGTTTCCATATGTTCAACATATTTTACGTCTTAACATTTTCATATATTGCTCGCTCATATGCATTCGTAGAATTCACTATTACACTATTGTTTCACTCAAATACACAATTTGGGATTGTGTGTTTGATACCGGTTATTGTGCATGATGTACGTGTTTGTTACGATTCAATCTCTATTTCCATCTATGTGCTACATATGAGTTCTCTGACATATATACATATTGTGTTGTAGATACTAATTCATGTACATCATATAATAATTTAAATTATATGAAATCCTTATGTGTTTCATAGGCTCATCTATGGGTTACTTTCATTATTCCTCCTTCCTAGTCTGAACGGATGACCTTATTACTTTGGAAATTAACCCTGTGAAGGTATATATATAAGTACATTGTCACTCACCCCCCATAATCGAAACCAAAAAACTGCACACATGCATGCACAATCAATTTTAGACTGCACAATTCTTATATTACAATAAAAACAACAAAGGTTTTTACAACATATGGAAATTCAACATTCACTATAGCTAGGGAGAGGCAAAAAGAAAATTGTGTGTCATCTAACTTTTAGCAGAGGAACAATCATCACAATTCATGTATTAAGTCATATGAAACAATATAATGTCATGGCCATCATTTGCCCATTTGATTCCCCAACTGTTTTTTAATCTCTTAGCACAATGCATCCTAAATTTGACCATGGTCAATTATGATAACTACATGATTTGAAGTGCACTCTATATCTATAATTTCCTTGCACAAAAGCAACTTCCAAATTTTTTATTATTATTATAAAGTTATATTCAATAGTGATAAATGTAGAAAAATGAACCAAGATCAACAAACATTTTAGACATACTCTAAAACTTAGAGATCGTAGATTGTCATCGCATAAGTCCCAATGATGAGACCCTCCTCAATCTAGCTCTTTATTTTCATGTGATTCGCTCTTCTTGAATCTTTGTTGGTGTTAGTGTTAAACACGTTTATAAGCTACCGTCCACCTTATATTTATCCATCTACAAAATAGGTACTGTGATAGAGATAACGCTTAAAATCCTTTGACTCCTAGTCTTTTGTCCGCCTTTGTTATAATTATTGTGTTTGAGTGGGAGATGATCAAATATTTCTTGTAAGGACAAGGGGATATGGTCCATATGAGGTTTTTGAGCATATTTGATGCCTACTACCTAAATAAATGCTACTACATGTGATAGAGTATTTAATTTTAGAGAGAAGTGAGAGCTAGAGAGAGAAAATGATCAATTAATATTTCTCAACCCCTATAACTACCCTCCTATGAGGCTATTTATAGGAGTAAATGTGGATTTGGGCTCCTAGCCTTGAGCTTAGGAGGCCCATTACAATAATCATGTCTTCTTTGGGCGAAATAATTAGGCTACCAATGGGCTGAGTACAATACTTAGTAAAAAGATAGAAAAATACATTCTGTCAGGGGGAGACTCTGGCCGATGCGTGACCTCTGGCTGATGCGGTCCTCGGCTGATGCGGGGCCCACTATGTCTTCAGGCAATCTTCTGAACAGCTCCCCCTCTGGCCGATGCGGTCGCTCTTGGCCGAAGGCTGCCACGTGGATGCTGTCCTGGTGTCTTTGACCTTTTGAGTATGTGGGCCATGTGGTCCAAGCCCATATACTCTATCAACATGCATAATAGGTTTCTGAAAATATTATAGAGATGTAATTGAGGTTATGATAAATTAATCTATCCGGACTTTTCTTCACCATATAGTCTATTTATGTACATGTATTCAAACTTTTGGTACTTTCCTTCAACATGTATCTATTTATGTACATGTATTAATTCCAACTCATATTTACTTTGTATATTTTACGGATTTAGGGCTACCTTCATAGATAGCAACATGCATTTTAGCTTTTCCCATGTAATTTGATCGGACAAGGAGATTAGCTTGATCTAAATTGTCATGGTATTAGAGCTTTGAGTTGCCTTGACAAATACTCCATTTGTCCCAAATTGAGTTGAAAAATTGATATTTTTGGGTCAAAGAAATTCATTTTATTTACTTAATTAGGGTACCAATTCTAAATTAAATTTCAACTTGAATTTTGCAACTTTTGAGAGATTTTAATGTAGTTTCTGAATATATAAATTTTAATTGTTGAAACTAAACTAATTATCAATAGGAACGATTTAACTTTAACATTGGTTGAGCAGAAAATTTTGACTTTTCAAAACAATTTGGGACGGAGGTAGTACCTTTTATTCTAGCGGAATCAATAACCAAGAAAATCAAGAATTAAAGGTAGTAGAATCCAGGGTTTCAAATTGCGGACTGCAACAGCTCTTGAGGCTGCAATATTGTGGTTGCCGAGGGCACCGCAACCGCATCAGCCCGCAACACGCTTGTGATTTCGAATCACGGCCAGAACCCGCAACGTAACCGCGACGGCACCGCATCATCCCGCAACCGGCCGCAACGCCTCTACCTCACCTTCTTCCTTATTCCCCGACATCATATTTAATGGCTTAGCATAGTTGGGTGTACATGTATTGGGTGTTAGAAAATTATAAATGTGTGTAGATTTGTGTCCTTATGGGTTAGCATAGTTGGGTGTGCATGTATTAGAAGATATGTTAAAGAACACAAAAAAAAGGGAAAAGGTGCAAATAGGCCCATGTACTAACAAAAAAAGTCAAATAAGCCCTTATTTAGGAGGTTCTGTCCGGTCATCGCCATATGGGGTGGTTCCCGGTGGAATTTTTTGATGCAATTTTTTGAGCATCTTATTCGTCAAGTCTAGTTTACTCATACCAAATTTCAGCTAAAACTTCAATCGGGAAGGCATTCAAATGAATTATTGAAAATAACTGCGTAGTTAGAAGCGCAGTTATCTTCAATAATTCATCAAAACATTCTACCGGGAACCACCCCAAATGACGACGGCCGAACAAAGCCTCCTAAATAAGGGCTTATTTGACCTTTTTTGGTTAGTACATGGGCCTATTTGCACCTTTCCCCCCCCCCCCCAAAAATAATGATATTCCTTTCTGGTGCGAATTTGAAAATCATTCACGCCGCAACGGCTACAATATGCATCGCAGCGGCCGCATTAGCCGCAACCGCAACGACCACAACCGTGACCGCAACTGCAACTTAAAACCTTGGTAAAATCCATAAGCAACAGAGTCTAGAGATCAGCAAATATTTCTAAAAGTGGTGATTTTCATTGTTATAGTTTGTACTATGTATTGTATCATTATTACAAAGATTCAGGAAGCTTTATGTAATCAACATACCTTTCAGGAACAATAACCCAAAAGATAAAAAAGACTATTAGAAGTGAGACTATGAGAGATCACAACATGAAGGGAAGCGATCTATCATGATATTATTATTTCTAATAATTCTAAAAGTGGTGATTTTCCTTGTTATTGTTTGTACTATGTATTGTATCATTATTACAAAGCTAAGATTCAGGAAGCTTTATGTAATCAACATACCTTTTAGGAATAGTAACCCAAAAGATAAAAAAGACTATAAGAAGTGAGACTACGAGAGATCACAACATGAAGGGAAGCGATCTATCATGGTATTATTAATCAACTTCGTTAAGGGTGACAAGCATACCTTTCTTTCTAGCCGGAACAAACGATCTACTTCCAAATTTAGACCGTCAATGAAAGAGAAGATGAAAAGCTCAAATACAAATAATTGTCAGGCCTAATACTTGGGGGAGGGAGTGCAATAACAGATTGTGTTAGCATGTTCTTCATAAAGATTAGATTATTTGCACAAAATTTCAGTTTTGAATTCAATTGGGAAGTTAGGTAAATAAATTACAAAAAAACATTGCGCTTTTTAAACAAATATAAAGAGCACTGTTTTTCAATATTTTATTTAACGGACTTCCTGATGGAGTTTTTAAGTTCAAATTATGTGGACATAATCTACACTTAATGAAAAACATCCTAACAAACTTTCATGAAACAGTTTCATTTCAAAGCACCTCAAATGGGTTTGGCCGTACATAATTCCCGATCAAGCGCGTCTTAGGTGAACATAACTCAATATGTATACTACTACTAAATGATTTGCGGGCCCCTCTTTCGGGTGGGCCTTGGGCAGCCGTCCATCCTGCCCCTATATCAGGACCGGCCCTGCATGTGTGTGTGTGTGTGCACGCTTGTGTGTGTGTCTGTGTTTGGGGAATGAAGGTTTCAATCACTTCTTGTTCTCTTAGTATCATTCTATACCTCAAACTTTATATAAAAAATTATGTTAGCGCTATGATCATATATTTTTCACAAATGTAATTTTATGATGTTAAATACATAATTTAAAATGCACAAAACATTTATGAGGATGCAATTAAATTAAATTGTACCGAATGTAATACTATTTATTTCAAAAATGCAATTTTAGAATGCTAACTACATTCTAACAAAACTTAGATTATTTTAAATTATGTAATTATATTTCAATAAATTTGTATTTGTAAAATAACATGCTATTATGGTGAGAAAATAACTTTTTGTGTAAAGTTCTGAGTATATATATTATATACGCAAGTTTGGGGTACTATATATAAGGGTGCTTAAACAAAAATAAATAAATAAATAAATAAATAAATAAATAAATAAGTAATAGGAATGCATAATATAGGGTAAACATGATGAACCCGAAATTGAGAAATGTGCTTTATAATTTTTCATATGCATGGGCGGATCTAGAGGGGGTTAATCTAGGCTCTGGTTTACGCCAGTGTCCTGACTCTGCACCTGATTATATACGATGGGCGTTCAACTCTACAAATAGAGAACACATGCAAACCGATATATCAAACATGAAACATCAATCATATAATTGTAAATTAAATGAAATGCAACATAAATGTGAGAGAATGTACGGAAAAAGTAGACAAATTAAATGAAATGCCACATAAATGTACTTGTTATTTAGTCTGCAATCTTCAATCTTCATCAGAGTCTTCGGAGTCTTTAGAGTGATTTATTTCCTCTAGAATCAGTAATAGAGAAGCAACAAAGGCTTGATCCACGTTTGGCTGCACGGTCACCTTTAACTTATCCACTCCAAAAATAGACTGTTGCTTCACTCTCTGCAATAAAATTATATTTATATATTTATCTCAATTCTCAAATGTGAAATTTATAAACAAAACTTGTCGAAATTGTTTGTAGACTCAAGTCTATGAGAAAATTAATCATGTGACCATATATACAACTTAACTTAAAATATATATCATTTCGAAGGATGTACTGAAAAATGATGAGGAATATTTTCATGGACCTAGAGATCGGAGTAAAATAATTGTTGGGAAAATCATCAATTCAGTCCTGGTACCAATTCTTCACTCAATCTAGCAACCCTACTCTTAAAAAAGGTTCAAATTTTCTTTTTATTAGGTAAACAATAAGACACCCTTTTGGTGAACCTGTTCTTCGGCTTATAGGCTTATCACACTTATCAGTCAACTTTTTCATCGAATGCGTAACTTTTAATTTCACACGCTGAGTTGTGTAAACATAATAAAAAGTAAGTTTTTGTTACTTTTCTGGCTGGATTATTGGTTGAAGTTAGTGTAGAGGATAATTTTAGGGAAAATTCCTGAAATAGGAGTAAACAAGTATGAAAATTCCAAAATAGGATTGTCATTTTCTTATTCCAAAAATAGGAGTAATTACTGCCAAATTTGAAAAATGTTGTCATGCTTTAAAATCTTGTACTGCCAAAACATGATAGTAATTGATCCTATTTTGGGAATAAAAACACGATAGTCCTATTTTGGAATATACAAACGTTTTTAGTCCTATTTAGGGTAATTTTCCATCATATTAACTATTTTTCATATATTTTTATTTTATTTTAATAATAAAATATATCTTAATAATTTCTTTTTCTAAATCAACCAAATCAGCCACTTCAGCCCGTACTTCATAATTTCGACAAAATCATATGATTCAGCCAATTTCAGTGTTCTTAAATAGGCTCCAAGCAGCCACTAAATCTACAAACGTTGCTATATATGTGGCTGCTTTTTCTTGTTCATTATATTCTTTCATCCTTTTAGTAGTTCGCCTTCTTTTTCATCCTAGCCTATTAGTTATGTCCTCTTTTTCTTTTTCAGAGCTACCAACCATTTCGATCGGATCTATGCTCATTGTTGTCGCTCCAAGACCAGCCTCAATCTTGTCTGGTTCATCCCCTAGATGCTCCATGTCGTATTTATTGGGCCCAAAATTAATTAGATGAATAAAAAGGAATCTTGGCCCGATTTCTGATAGAAAGAGTGGTGGTCCAACTCAAGAGATTCAATACATTAATAAAATAGTTGGATTGGTTTTCAAGCAATAGACATATCAAGATGCCCAACTGTTTTCCACATATGATGGGAAGGGAGAAGAAATCGTTGTGAAGTTCAACAGAAGCATTCAAAGTCATTTTGCCAACTATATAAATTAGAATTGATCTTCTTGTAACAATGATTCATCATTTTGTTACACATTATCGATAGAGTTCATCAATTCCACTCTCATAAAAAAATATTATGCACATTCCTGCTTTAATTTATACAATCTCTTAGAATAAATTTTGCTTAAATAATTTGGCACCGTTTGGGGAAATCATACAAGAATACATATTTTGAATGGAAGGAACCAGCAACTCGTTGATGGAAGAATTTCATAGACACCAAGGAGATAAGGTGTGAGATGGCTTAGAGGATTTCATGTATCCAAAGGGAAAACATCCTGTTGAGACCTCTACTTCAGTCACTAGCCTTGTATCCGGCCTGGAATTTGAAGCTATGGATGCTAGTCACTGAACTTGAGATCTCAACGGGTCCTTTTCCCTTTGGATACAAGAAATCCTCATAGTCGTCTCATGCCTTATCTCCTCCTTTGCGACCTCTAGCTGTATATGAAATTATGCCATCAACGAGCTGTTGGGTCCTTCAAATGAAAATAGGGATTCTTGCACGATTTCCCACGGAAGACACAAAATTATTTAAGCAAAAGTTATTCTAACAGATTGTACAAATCGAAATGAGAACATGCAAGAATTTTTGAATGAGAATGGAATTAATGAACTATATTGATAATGCATAACAATGAGCTTAAGAACAAATATATAGAATGCTAGTTGATCTGATAGATCATGTATTCATATGTTACAAGAAGATCAATTCTAATCTATATAGTCAGCAAAATCACTTTGAATGCTTCTATTGAACTTCCCGACGATTTCTTCTCCCTTCCCGTCGTATGCGGAAAGCAGTTGGGCATCTTTACTCGTCCGTTGCTTAAAAATCAATCCAACTGTTTTATTAAGTGTTTGAATCTCTCGAGTTGGGTAACACCGCTCTTTCTATCAGAAATCGAGCCAAGTGTTCCTTTCTATTCATCTAATTAATTTTAGGCCCAACGGGTGAGTTCCCGTAACTTTATATATTTTAATACTGGACTACGAATGGAGAAACCAGCCGGTGATGGTGATGTACTTCGGTGACAAAATGTTAGTCTTGCCATTTCGCCACCCTACAAGCTTTGGCCACAATAATGCATTGATAAGGGACAATGAAGGAATGAAAGATAGCGCAAAGGTGATGAGATCTGAATGGGTGGAAAGTTAAGAACCCATTCAAAAAAGATAAGAGGATAAAAAATAGAAAATTTTTAAAAAAATCCATGTGGACTCTCCACATACACGGGCTAAATTGCTTCAGGACTTTATTGTTTTTTCAATGAAGTATGAAAACATACTGGATAGTGTACCCTTGTTCGTTCTAAAATATTTTTCTTGTTTCATTGATATATTTATTTTGGGTGAATAATTAAAAAAAATGTCAATTTGAAACATGAATTGAAATAAATCAATGAACTATATAATATCAATTATAAGTTGCACTCATCATAACAGATAAAACAATGAGGCCAGGTCATTGTTGTCATTTGTTATGTTGATAAGATTCATAACAAATTGGCTAATAACATTGATAAGTCGAAAAACAGAGTCACGAAACGTACACTACATAACGTACATATGCTATAATTGGTATTGGAACATCTAAGGGATGAGCGAGACAAGATTGAGGCTGGTCTTGGAGCGACAACAATGAGCATAGATCCAATCAAAATTAGTTTTTATTTTCTTAGTTAATAATGTTCAATTCTTTTTATTGAAGTTAAAAATGTTCGATTAGTAACTAAAAGTAATATGAAAATATTTTATATTAAAAATATTCTCATAAGGGTATAGAAATTAAACTTCTACTAAGGACACATTTACTTCACGGGTTACTAAACGACGCTTATTAAAACTCGCGTTAATAAGCAGAACATAACACAAGCAATGTTGTAAGTTCATGCTTACTTCAAAGGATTTAAACACCATTTAACATTAAAATGTCCAAAATAACTCTATACATATAAAGACACACAAAAAGTACTCATGAACACAAGTATATATAATACAATACAATACAATACAATACAATACAATACAATACAATACAATACAATACAATACAATACAATACAATACAATACAATACAATACAATACAATACAATACAATACAATACAATACAATACAATACAATACAATACAATACAATACAATACATTACAATACAATACATTACAATACAATACAATACAATACAATACAATACAATACAATACAATACAATACAATACAATACAATACAATACAATACAATACAATACAATACAATACAATACAATACAATACAATACAATACAATACAATACAATACAATACAATACAATACAATACAATACAATACAATACAATACAATACAATACAATACAATACAATACAATACAATACAATACAATACAATACAATACAATACAATATAATATGTGGGGGTCATCTCGTACACATACCCATACCCCTAAACCCTACCCCACCCTATACCCCATACCCCCACCCCACTCATACCCTACCCTTGACCCTAACCCCTTTATCACCTACCACCTTTCCCTACCTCGACCCCGATCCCACCCCTACCCGCCCATCCTACCCTACCAAGGACCATATGCACTTATCCAACCACCCCCACCCATCACCCATTTCGTATCCCGACCCTACCACTTACCCCTACCTCGACCCCACCCTACCTCGACCATACCCTTGGCCCACCCCCACCTGTAACCCCATACCATCCGCCCCTACCTCAACCCCAACCCCACCCCTACGAGTAGGGTCAGAAGGGTTGTAGAGGTGTTGGGCTAGAGGGTAAGATCGTGATAAGGGTAGAGGTAAGGGGTAAAGAAATTGGGGGTAGGATGTAGGTAAGGGGTATGGTCGGGGTAGGATAGGGGTTGGGATTGGGGTGGGGTCAAGGCAAGGGGTGGGGGTTAAAGGGGGTGGGGGTGGGGTATGGTCGGGGGCTAGAGTAGGGTAAGTGGGGTAAGGTAGGTAGGATTTGTTGGGATGGAGTCGTTGAGTCATTGGCTAGGTGGTTAGGGTTAGAGTAGACACGTGGCAGGTTTGTAGATAAAGAAGCAGGGGGTGTTGGTTGAGATAATATCGATAGGAGCCGTGGCAAATTATTTGGAGGGGGTATTTCTGAATGCGGAGAGTTTGGAAATTTAGTTTGACTAAGAATGTCATCACGGTGACCACTTATTCGAGAGGAAGAATTTTGCATGGGATGCATGAGTGACGCTGGGGAGACCTGAGAACGGAATAGAAATTCATTGGGAACAAACCGAACATGACATGAGGCATATACATGACCCGACTCAGGTTCTAGGCACAAATAAGCTGACTGAAAAGTAGAGTATCCGGCAAAAACACATTGTTTTGACCAAGGATGCATTTTAGTAAATACACAGGGCCTTAACCAAGGATAACATGTATACCCAAAGGGACGTAATTTAGAGTAATTCGGATTCCGTTGGTGCAATCGGTAGTATGGAGTTTAGTTTTGAAGGATGGGATTGGGAGTCAGTTAATAAGATATACCGTTGTGTGAAAGGCTTAAGACCTGTAACTGATGGGAATCCCAGCAGAGTGAAGCGCATGACCAGTCTAAAATATGATTTGAGTTTAATGTATTCACCGCCATTGTCAGAAAAGATAGAAATTAGAGGTAAATTAAAATATTTATCAACAAGGCGGTGAAATTGGGGGAATGTAACGAGTATAATAATCAAGAAAAATGATATAATACTTAAACTCATCAACTGAGATATGACTTGTACTCCAAACATCCGTATACATAAGCTCAAGTGGCTTTGTAGCCGACATGGTATCAGAGCAAATTAAGCTCCAACGAGTAATTAGATCCTAGTAAGCCTTAACAACGAGCACACGGACTACAAGATTGGTTTGCTCCAACGAGCAACCATCTTGTGGGGACATATAACGCTGTCCCACAACGGTTGCATATAGAAATACAAACCAACATCAGCTAAAGGTGTGCCATATCTCTACCTAGCTTCAAATTGTCGACGCTCTCACTAAGCCATTGACTACATCCCGGTTTCAACTTTTTCGGACCAAGCTGGGTGTTTCCGACAGAACGTCTAGCTTGCGGGGGCGTATTACGACATAATTATTTTATATTATTTGTACTTGTGCTTATCTGTTAATTATAGTTGATAATACTGTGTAACCAACCTAGACTTACGCATGGATAGTTTCGGTAGATTGTTAGCAGCACTTATCTTATGGTTATGAAATAATATATATATGTGTACACATGTATCATTTTCATTCATTCACTATAAGACTTTTATTCATCTCTATATGGTATCAAAAACCATTCATTAAAAAGCCTTCTCATTTTTTTCGAATCCTGCATTCCTCTCTGCGATGTCGATCATCTCAGCCACCGTGCAAGTCATCTCCTTGACTGCCACATCTCACTTCCCGATTAAGCTCACCACGTCCAACTATCCGGTCTGGAAATGCCAAGTTCATTCCGCCCTAGTTGGTCTTGGTCTCGAAGCTTATGTCAATGGCACTATCAGCATTCCTGATTTGTTCCTTGATGAAGGCAAAACTCAGGTCAACCCGTGCTATACAATTTGGTACCTCCAAGACAAAACAATTTTGAGTGCGCTCTTTGGAATTTGCTCCGACACCATTGACGTGCACTTTGTCACGGTGCGTCAAAATAAATTCAATACTAACACTAATACGTAGTATAGTGAAGTAGAGTTCGTATCCACGGGGAAAGGAATAATTCTCTTTTTATGAAGCTAGTAATAAAAGGGGGGGGGGGGGGGTTATGGTTGAATGATTTAATTTAATTAAAAACAAAGATGAAGGACTTATATGAGATTTAATTCAAAGATAAAAAGGACTTGGCATTGCTACTATCCACTTGTTGATATATTTTAGTCGATCATTGTTATATCTATAACTTATCCCCTCTCGAATACTCAATCGAGGAGTATATCCAATTCATCGAGAGTAGTTATTAACAACGACCGTTCATTAATAACCCTTACTATTAATCAAATATAGAACAACGCCGTATACCGATATAATAGTAGCATTTAACCTCTTTACTCCTTGATGAAATCAATTGAGATTGATAACCTCAACACAACGGTTTCGGTTTAACCAACAAAATTAATCCCTCTTAAGTTTATTAACCACGACCGTGCATTAATAAACCGAAGTTACTTACTTGTGAAACCATCAACGATTAACCAACGGTTCGTTGAACGTTTCTAGTAGTAATTAATGTTGAGATGTTAACTAATTGTCATCTTAGCAACACTCCCCAACATTAACATAGAGATAGATTAAGGGAAGAATTAATATTCAAGGAAGAAAATTAAATATGAATAATCCTACTATAACTAATGTCAAGATGTTATCTAATTGTCATCTTAGCAACACTCCCCAACATTAATATATAGAGGAAGAAAATAAATACTACTATAACTAATGTCGAGATGTTAACTAATTGTCATCTTAGCAACACTCCCCAACATTAATATATAGATAGATTAAGAGAATAATTAATATTCAAGGGAAGAAGTTAAGAAAATAACTCACAACTTTAATAATCAACAAGCTTCAAGAGCAACACCAAGAAAAGGAAGTTTAGCTCCTCATTTGGAGACTAAACATGCTATAAAAATATAAAAGAAATACTATTCTAAACTGAGCTTAAGAGTATGGAAGAAGGGATGATGAAAGGTGAAGGAAAATGAGGCTATTTATAGGTATTCTCAACACCCTGGGGCATTTACCCGACCGGGTCAAGTGCCCACCCGACCGGGTAAATGTCAAAATCAAATATTTCCCACGTTCTGGCGATCTTCGGCATGTTCTGGTGTTCCGGGTCACATCTGACCCGACCGGGTCAAGTAGGGGACCCGACCGGGTCTAGCAATTTCCTTGCTTCTTCGGTTGTTAAATCTTACCCGACCGGGTGGGGATTTCTACCTGGTCGGGTTTTGCCCTTGGGCAGTCAAATTTCTTGTTTTATTCTCTTCAAAGTCCTATTTTCCAACACCATAAATCCTAAATCTATTTTACAACTTACAAATGAAAATTAAAATACAATTACAACTAAAATCACACAAATGTTTACAAACTAAATAAAACGATAAATAATACACACAAATCAAACATAAAAACATACACTTATGCACTACTAATTAGTGCATATCAACCATTCAACCGGTGATCTCATCTGTTGCCGTATCTAATTAGTGCATATCAACCATTCAACCATTCAACCTAGGATAAATAATCCCTCACGTACGCCAGCTCTTCGCGTGGCCATATCATCTCCTTGAAGACCACCCTCGCCCGCACTACGAAGGGGTCTCAATCTATTATTGCTTACCTTGCCGAAATGCAAGCAATAGCCGATGTTCTCGCCTTGGCTCAAAGCCCCATTTCAGAGGAAGAACTTGTTATTAACATATTAAATGGGTTTTCTAAAAAAACATATTAAATGGTCTCAGATATGAGTATGTTGAACTCATGTCTGTAATTCGAGTCTGTTAGACAGCGTTGCCACTAGCACAACTTCAACAAATCTTACTGGAGCGTCTCACCGAAATAGCTGCATCAAATCAGGCCCTTTTCCAAGGTCTTCCTCATAATGGGGCTTTGAGCCAAGGCGAGAGCATCGGCTATCGCTTGCATTTAAGCAAGGTAGGCATTAATAGATCGAGACCCCTTTGTAGTGCGGGCGAGGGTGATCTTCAAGGAGATATACGGCCACACGAAGAGCTGGCATACGTGAGGGATAATTTATCCCAGGCATGGCGGGCAGTGGCAGCAGAGGAGATCATCGGTTGAATGGTGTCGGAGCAACTTCCAAGGAGCACACTCAAAATTGTTTTGTCTTGGCTGTACCAAATTGTATAGAACGGGTTGACCTGAGTTTTGCCTTCATCAAGGAACAAATCAGGAATGGTGATACTTTGGGCGGAATGAACTTGACATTTCCAGACCGGAGAGTTGGACGTGGTGAGCTTAATCGGGAAGTGAGATGTGGCAATCAAAGAGATGATCGACATGGCAGAGAGGAATGCGGGATTCGAAAAATAGGCTTTTTAAAGAATGGCTCTTGATATCATATAGAGATGAATAAAACACTTATATTGAATGAATGAAAATGATACATGTGCACACGCATATATACTAACTCATAACCATGAGATAAGCGCTGCTAACTACCTACCAAAGTTATCCATGCGTATAAGTCTAGGTTGGTTACACATTATTATCAACTATAATTAACAGATAAGTACAAGTACAAATAATATATAGTAATTATGTTGTAGTAGGGTTAAGGGTGAGGTGGGGTCAAGTGGTGGGGGGTAAAGGCGTTAGGTCAGGGTAGGGTAAAGGAGTACGAGCGGGGTCGGGGTGGAGGCCTGGAGGGGGTATGGTCGGGGGTAGTTTAGCAGTAAGGGTTGGTCGGGGGTAAGGTGGGGGGTATGGTCGAGGGTAAGGGTGGATGGGTAAGGGTGGGGTCGGGGTAAGGTAGGGAGGGGTAGCAGGTAGAGGGGTAACAATAGAGTAAGGGAAAAGGGGTAAGTGTAAGGGTAAATTCGGAAACTGAAAAGGATTAAAGTGTCACTTAATTACATTGTTTTAAAACTCGCTAGGCGCTAGTCGGGCGGTTGAGGGGCGCCTAGCGCCTAGGCGGCCGACTAGGCCGATTTTTTGGCCGGCTAGGCCGATTTTTTGACCGACTGGGCCGACTAGGCCTCTACAGTTAGGGCCGACTAGGCCGCCTAGGCCGATTAATCGGTCCGCCTAGGCTGATTTTTAGAACAGTGCTTAATTAATACATGGGGGGTTAGCTTAGTAATTAAGCGGCACTTTAAACACCTCTTTCGATTAGTAAGCAGCTTGCTTGTTTACTTCACCTGTTTTACTAACTTACTGTCTTACTAACCTAACTGTGACTTTAGCAGCGAAGTAAACACCTCCTAAGTATTATTTATCAAATGTATTAATCAAAATCATTAACTAAAGTTTACCACAAAACAAATTATTTGATCATATAAAAAGTGTTCTCTATGATGACAATAATCAAACTATTCAAGCCAAATACTAAAATATCATATACACTAGTTAATTTTTTTATAGATAATATGAAGTAATTAAAAAACTTACATCTCATTAAGTTGTCTGTTATAGAAAAGAATTTATTGCAATGATAATGAACTTTAAACTCTTTCAGCTTTAATATGAATATAATATGAACCAATGATATGAATTAACAACATAACGTTATACGGTTATAGAAATAAATTTAGATATATGTGTGTGTATATATATATAATCAAAATAAATGTAGTGGATAAAAATATGATCTAGTAACTTAATTAGATCAAGCGTGCATGTTATCTGACTACAAACATTATCTCCGCAAGATACATATTTTTGGTGGTTTACATGATGTAATATAACATTTCATCTGTTTTTTGTTAGTTATAACGATCCACTTTTCGCGTTTGTCAACACTCAAGTTTGACAATTAATATATTTCATTCTTTACTAATAAAACTATTAAAAAAATAAATTTTGAAAATTTAAAATGATAGTGATTTAACAATTTTTTAAATAATTAATTTTCAATGAAATGGATGCATCAATTAGGGATTATAAAAATTGGATGCATGTGTGTTTCTTTACTGGCTAGATAACCGATTAGACAGCTAATTGAGCTTCGATTTAAAACCCAGCTACACGTTGACTTGCTTAGTACCGATGTTTTCTTTCTTTGAATTGGTTCCAGACTGAGACTAGACCAGATCAAATTTAAACAAACCAGATCAGACTTGGAGAGTTACAAAATACACAGGGACTAAACATTTATTAGATCAGACTAGACCAATTTGGACTAGGTCAGACCAGACCAGCAAATTTAAGAAAACATCATACGTATACAATTGGATTTGTTGTAACTTTTTTTTATTTAAATACGTAGGAGTAGGAGTAGTTTAGTAGGAGTAGTTTTGAAATATTAGTCGTGTAATATCATTTGCACTCCCGAAGTGAAAAAGATATACGGAGTATTTGATTTATTTGTCCCAATATTTCATACAACCTTTATATTTGAAGAATCGATGATGAGTCTGTGGCAGCTTTAAGTGGGGAATAACCAACCCACTTTTCATCCTATGAAAGAAAAAGAAGAAGAAATTGTTAAGAATTTAACTCACGCACACGAAGAACAATAACGAAGAACACGCGAAATTTGGTAACCCAGTTCGCCACGAATGACTACGTCTGGGGCGCTACCAAGCCAGGAATGTTATTAATATTTTCGGATCCTACAATTACAAGGGAGAGGGCTTATATTTATAAAGAAGTAAAACCTAACCCCAAGGCAACTAGGACGCATTTAAAAAAAATTAGTAAACCGTACGACCCAAACTGTACGGACTGTACGGACTGTACGGAAAACTTGATCGTCAAAAATGGGCCGAAAACGGATCAAAACCAAAAATTTTGACGGATAGGGCTTGGTTATACAGTCTCTAACACCTTAAAATCTCCCACCTTGAGACTGTCTTCTTCAAATCCTCCCTTGTTAACATGGTAGCGCTAGTCTTCATCTTCAAGTACCCAGAGCAATTGAAGCTATGCAAAGCTTCAATTTCTCCAAGGTTACCACCTTAGTAAATGATATGCACTAATTAGTAGTGCATAAATGTATCTTTTTATGTTTGATTTGTGTGGATTGTTTACCATTTTATTTAGTTTGTAAGCATTTGTGTGATTTTAGTTGTAATTGTATTTTAGTTCTCATTTGTAAGTTGTAAAGTAGAGTTAGGATTTATGGTGTTGGAAAGGAAGACTTTGAAGTGAAGATAATTGGCTGCATAGGACAGTCACCCGGTTGGGTGAGGTATTGCACCCTTTCGGGTGAGACTTGAAATACGAAACTGCTCAGGAAATTACATCACCCGGTCGAGTGAGGTATTTCACCCGGTCGGGTCAGACATGACCCGGGACAAAATGACGTGCAGAAACATGAGAACATGGCGGATTATTTGATTTTGACATGCACCCGGTCAGGTGGGCACTTGACCCGGTCGGGTACCCGGCCAAAGGTGTTGAAAAACACCTATAAATAGCACACTTTTCCTTCACTTTTAATGACTCCTTCTTCCATACTCTTAAGCTCAACTTAGAATAGTATTTCTTTTATATTTTCTAGCATGTTTAGTCTCCAAATGAGGAGCTAAACTTCCATTTCTTGGTGTTACTCTGAAAGCTTGTTGATTATTAAAGTTGTGAGTTATTTTCTTAACTTCTTTCCTTGAATATTAATTCTTCCTTTAAATACTATTTCTATATCAATGTTGGGGAGTGTTACTAAGATGACAATTAGTTAACATCTTTACATTAGTTATAGTAATAGTTATTTCTTCCTCTATGTTAATATTGGGGAGTGTTTCTAAGATGACAATTAGTTAACATCTTGATATTAACTATAGTAGGATTCATCTTCTTTAATATTCTTCCTTGACTATTAATTAATCCATATTCATATTTCATATTAATATTTTGAACATTACTTAAAGGATCAACTAGTTTTGTTTCATATATTAATTATTACTAGAAACGATCAACGAACCGATGGTTAATCGTTGATGGTTTCACAAGTAAGTAACTTCGGTTTATTAATGCACGGTCGTGGTTAATAAACTTAAGAGGGATTAATTTTGTTGCTTAAACCGAAACCGTTGTGTTGAAGTTATCAATCTCAATTGATTTCATCAAGGAGTTAAGAGATTAAATGCTACTATCAAGTCGGTATATGGCGGTGTTCTATCTTTGACTAATAGTAAGGGTTATTAATGAACGGTCGTTGTTAATAACTACCCTCGATGAATTGGATATACTCCTCGATTGAGTATTCGAGAGGGGATAAGTTATAGATATAACAATGATCGACTAAAATATATTAACAAGTGGAAAGTAGCAATTTCAAGTCCTTTTTATCTTTGAATTAAATCACATATAAGTCATTCATCTTTGTGTTTAATTAAATTAAATCATTCAATCCTAAACCCCCCCTTTTTTTAACTAGTTTTATAAAAAGAGAATTATTCCTTTCCCTGTGGATACGAACTCTACTATGCTATACTACGTATAAGTGTTAGTATTGAATTTATTTTGACGCACCATGACAAAGTGCCCGTCAGTAAACATGTCTGCTGGATTCTCACTCCCACGGATCTTCACAAGCTGCAATGCCTCTATCTCCAGAAGATGCATGACGGATGTAGTGATACTTCAACAGAAGATAGCACTTTGACTGTCACTGTAAAGAATGATGTTCTTGTACTCCTTCCCAAGTTCCCCAAGTAGATTCTAAGGTCACACCATCTCCTTACTGGCCTCCGTAATGGCCACATATTCAGCTTCAGTGGTAGATAATGCAACAATCTTCTGCAGCTGTGAAAGCCAGGAAACTGTCATTCCACCAAATGTAAAAACATACCCGGTGATGCTCCTCGATCCATCCGAGTCATTCGATGCCAGGTCTGCATCAACATGTCCCAGTAGCTCTACATTCTTCCCATCAAAACACAAAGCATTAGAAGCAATACCTTTCAAATACCTCATGATCCAATTCACAGCTTCCCGGGATCTTCCATGAATCTGCTCACTACTCTCACCGCATGTGCAATGTCTGGCCTCGTGCACACCATAGCGTATGGGACATTCTCCATTTGAGCACGCTCCTCCTTGTTCTTCGGCGAGTCTTCTTTGCTAAGCTTGAAGTGACTACCCAGTGGTACACTTGCTGCCTTTTCATCTTGCATTCTGAATCTTTCCAGGACCTTCTAAATGTATTCTACCTGTGAAAGATAAAATCTGCCTGCTGCCTCATCCCTCTCGATTCGCATGTCCAAAATCTGTTTTGCCTCTCCAAGATCCTTCATGGAAAAACATTCTGACAATTGTTTCTTTAGTTTCTTAATCTCCTTTGAACTAGCTCCTGCAATCAACATATCATCAACATATAACAGCAAGATAAGATAACAGTTCTTAGTCTTTTTGTAGTAGTAGCAATTGTCAGTGTGGCATCGAAAGAAATTTATGTCCCTCATGAAACCATCAAATTTCTTGTACCACTGCTTTGGTGCCTACTTCAACCCGTATATAAACTCTTCACTAGCTTACATACGAGATTCTCACTGCCTTCCGCCACATAGCCCTCCGGTTGCACCATGTAAATCTCATCATTCAGATCACCATGAAGAAATGCACTCTTCATATCCATCTGATGTAACAACAAATTCCCTGTAGCAACAACCCCAAAACTAACCGAATAGTAGTTAGTTTCACAACTGGAGAGAATATGTCGGTGTAGTCGATACCATACCGCTGCTCGAATCGCTTCACGACCAGCCTAGCTTTGTAGCGTTTGCTACCATCTGCCTCCTTCTTGATGCGGTAGACCCACTTGTAGTGCAAAGCCTTCTTTCCCCTCGATAGCTCAACTAACCTCCAAATATCATTGGAGGTTAAAAAGACGTCTCATCATATGAACCTTGTTCACAGCGGACGATTTCTCGTACATATATATCTGTTAATATCTGCAACATCTCCTTCATCATTTTTGCTTTGACGGTGTGTAGGGCGATGTTTCTGGACAACGACAATTGCATCACGCTCATCGCCTTCCTGACCAGCAACTTCCAATCGCTCTTCTTCATGTCTTCCAGCTTATCATCAAGAGGTTGATACAGATCTTTACCGTACATGTAATCTTCGATCTGCATGGCAGCTTCCTGAAACCGAAATCAGTCCCGTCAAACTGCACCAACGATGTCTTCAAATCTGCCATCGTGTTGAACTCTCCCTTCGAACCTGGCTCTGATACCAATTGTTAAGAATAACGAAGAACACGCGAAATTTGGTAACCCAGTTCGCCATGAATGACTACGTTTGGGGGCGCTACCAAGCCAGGAATGTTATTAATATTTTCGGATCCTACAATTACAAGGGAGAGCGCTTATATTTATAGAGAAGTAAAATCTAACCCCAAGGCAACTAGGACGTGTTTCCAAAAACAATTAGTAAACCGTACGGCCCAAACTGTACGGACTGTACAGAAAACTTGATCGTCAAAAACAGACCAAAAACGGATCAAAAACAAAAAATTTCGACGGATAGGGCGTGGTTATACAGTCTCTAACACCTTAAAGAAATGTGTGGGGAGATGGGCAAAAAGTATGTGGTAGAGCTAATGATAAAAAATGAATATTTTTTAAAAGTGACTTAACTTTTTGATTTGTGTTTCAATTTTGATAAAAATCATATTGCGTACCAAATTTTATACATAGTATTTTTTTAATGATCTTTCATATGAGATCCATATAGCATATATAAAAGTAATGATTTAATTAAAAAATTATGTTAGATGAGTATGTTGACAATATTGGATTGCGGAGAAAATTGAATTGACTAAGTCAATACGTAATTTTGGTAAAAACTTATTGGAAATTTACGTTATTGAGGAGAGTTGTTGCGGATAGTCTAAGAAAAAAGATGGAGTACATGATGAAAAAGAAAGTACTCCTAATAACTTAGCTCAGATGGATGGCAAAAAAGTAATGTAATTTGCAGAGATTATAGCATATGTAATGTACGTTTCGTGACTCTGTTTTTTGACTAATGAATCTTATTAATTAATTTGTTATCAAACACGTAACTATTGATTTCAAGCACTGAGTTCTGCAATAATAATCAAGATCAATAAATTTGTAATTACTTTTCGGATCGGAATGGTTGAAGTTATTGTGGACTGTATGTAGAGGGTCATTTTATTGTGTTGTACAATAAGATTTGACACAATATTTAAGGGAAATAATAAGGGTATTATTGAAAAGTGTAGAACAATTAGAAAGAAAAGTAATGAATGAAAGAAGATACTCCTTATCATACAATGTAAGTACGGAGTATATATTAATGAAAAGTCATAAAAATAGAAAAAGAATTTTAGATATTTTTTTAAGATAATAAGAGAAGTAAACTAAAAAAGTGAAGAAAAATTTGCAAATAAAAATGGAAGACAAAAAATACGAAGTAAAAAGAAAGAATAAGAAAGGAAAAAGACAAAAAGTTGGGAACGAGGAAGTACGTATTGGGGTATTACTTCAATTCGTACATTCGTACAGGGAGAGTATGAAGTACGATGAAAGACACAAAAGATAAAAGAAAAATGGAAAAAGTAAATAACAATGGAAAACAAATGTCAAATCAAGCAATATTAAGGGAGTTGTCATCCCGTAAACCTGGGATGATTTTTAAGTGTGTACTACACTACTACCCACTTTTATACCCATCTTATGCTCATCATGTCTTGTTTGTGGAATTTAATTCACAGATAAAATAATTTGCATAGACATATTTTGTCTGTGACAGGAATTCACAGACAAAAAAACTTCTCAACATACATGGTGGGTACAAAAGTGGACACATTTTCAAATAGTAGTATGTGTATTTATTTGAGTTGGAGTCATGTACTCCGTACCGTACTTGATATATAGTAGGAGAGTACACGTGACTCTTTTTCAAAAATAAAGTATATTTTAAATATGTTTTTTTCATAATTTTGTAGAATTAGTCAATTAAGCTACATCAGAACTTCATAAATTTCAGTTGATTCATGGGTTTCATCTAATTTCAGTTATACCAAATAAACTCGTAATACTGCTAATATATATTTTTTGTACCATTATTATGGAAAAATTCGAAAATGTTTGAGAATCCTAAAATAGGATTGTCATATTTATTCGCTAAATAAGAATAATTACCGTTAAGTTTGGAGAACGCTATCATGTTAAAAGTCTGGTATTGCGAAAACATGACAATCTAATAATTACTCATATTTAATGAATAAAGACATGATAATCACACATTCACACTTTTAGAATAGACAAACGTTTTCAATCCTATTTAGAACAACTTCCCATAATATTACTACTATAACATTGATACAAATCAATTCAAAGATTAAATGAATTCAAGCGGGGCAATACAAGTAATTAACAAGGAAATGAACGAACCTGAGCAATTAAGGCTTTAGATGATCGAGCAAACATTTTACAAATCGGCGGCAAGAAGATCCTGTAACAAGTCTCCATCTTATAATCGCACACTTTCCGTGGACTGTTATTGCTTGCTAAGAAGACATCATAGTTTGGGGTCAATTGGAACAGTGAAGAAGTTCTTGTGGTGAAGATAATATCACTCTTCTCTTTCTTTACTCCTCTGTAAACGTCCCATGAATCACGCCATTGAAATATCTGCATTATATTCAGAATTGCTAAATTAATTACTCATATTTATTCTTTTGCTTTGAGAAAAAAACTAGGTGTACAGATAAACTTTACAAAGTGTATACTTTCTGCGTATATCATCTGGTTGCATGTGTACACTTTTCGTATACATAAAAAGAGAAAACATGCAAATAAGCCCTTGAACTATTTGCAATTTTGCAATCAGACCCCTGAACCGGCCGAAGAATTGCAAATACACCCCGCAGCTTATTGAAAATCAAGCAATCAGGTTCTTTTTTACCGGCTGGTGCAGGTAAGAAGATGAGAAACTACCGACACAAGCGGGTAAGAAAGGACCCGATTGCTTGGTTTTCAATGAGTTGAGAGGTGGATTTTTATTTCTTCCGGTTCAGGGGTCTGATTGCAAAATCGCAAATAGTTCTAGGGCTTATTTGCATGTTTTCTTCATAAAAAGGACTCTTTCTTTGAAACCTTAGTAAAGAATTTAGAATGTTTTAAGTTGCATTGATTTCCATCGCAGACTAGACAGTCTAGACTTGACCAGATGAGAACAGACGTAAACATATCAGGTCAGACCACAATTCGAGAGTTATAAAATATACACAAATGATCAAACATCCATCAATATACCAGACTAGTTCAGATCAGGCCAAACATAAACTGATCACATCAAATTAAATTAGACCGGATCAGAAAATTTATGTCCAATTAAAAGTAAGCTAAGGTCCCTCTATATTACGAAGTACTATTAAGGTGATAATCTAATGCTCCACTTATCTAATTTACTAAGATCGTTTATATGTTATGTGTTCAAGTTTAAATGTTGCACGCACTCTTACAAAGAAATACGGTCGCTTTAAAACAAGAAGTTTGTTATTGTGTAATATAGAGTTCAATACAATTTTTACTTAATATTATATTAATCTATAATATCAATTTATTAACTTAAACAACTCTATCTCGATTGTTGGTACTCAAACGAAACATCCCTCCATTATTAATATTGTGTTCTAATGAATTGAACGACTTTATAAATTCCTTTATTTTCACATCTTAGGAGCCCAATTAGATAAGTTACATGATGTTACTAATGAATTGAATTATTGAACGACTTTATAAATTCCTTTATTTTCACATCTTAGGATCCCAATTAGACAAGTTACATGACGTTACTAACCACGTACATTGAAATGATACTTCTAATTCCTGAATGGGTACATCTCACGTTTGACATATGACACGAAAGTGCATCCGAAAACCGGGGTGTAACTCAAGTTTTGAAAATAGCTAGGCGTTGTCACAATTGAGAGGTCACGGTTCAAATATTTGGCACGTTGATTTTGAGTTAGACCAAGGAATTTCTTTTAAACCGTTTTTTGTCTCAGACCAGCTCAGACCAGATCAGACTTACATAGTTATAAAATACATAGAGATCAGACGTTTATCAGAGCAGACCATTCCAGACCAAACCAGACCATCATTCCAAAAGAAAACACTCATTTAAAACCGCCAAATAATCCGCCAGGCTAAAGCCCTAAATTAAAACCGTGCGTTTCATAATTCTGTCCCAAAACCCTAGCAAACACTCATTTTCTCATATCCCTCAAAGTTCCTAATATTTTCAGATCTTGTTAATAATCCATTTCATCTACGATAGTATAATTTTCACTGCAATTTCATTATAAAAAGCAAAAAGAATATCCAAATAGCATTTTAAGTTGAAATGTACTAAATCTTGGAGGTGCGAGTTCAATATCCAATCCAATCATATTTTGAACTTATATATTAAAAGTTTTTTAACATGACTATAAACTTTTGTCTATATGTATAATATTAAGTGCACAATACGGGGTATAAAACTTCAAACGTATTGGGGGATAAACGTAGCATTGCAACTTATATATGTTTGTCATATAAATATTGAAGTTCAAGTTTAAAACTTCAAATATTTTGGGGGATACACTTAGCATTGTAACTTACTTACGTTTGTTGATGACTTCGTATATAAATATTGAAGTTCAAGTAGTGTAAAACGTAATTAAAATTTAGAAAGATTTGTAATTTTAGCCCGATAACTTTTGATTGTGCGAGTACGGAGTAAAACATTTGTCCAAAAGGATGTTGTGAGCTTGTGGATGATCAATATTCTATCATAAAATGTATTTTTTGATGGATAAGTTTTTATAGGATTCATAACCGCATAATTAATGGAAATGTACTGAAATCGGATAATAATGATTCAAATTCCAATCAATTTCCCGAATTCTCGATTCAAAATCTTAGCCCTAGAAAGCCACTAAGGTTTGTACCTTTTGTCGAAGAGTAACAACAGCCTGTTTGGCGGGATCAAGGAGGATCACAGTGGATTGGAAGAAGGATGGGATCTTTTTGGCAGTGAACAGAATTTCGCCATTGCTGACATCCCTCACTTCATAGCCTTTTATGAAAAAGCACATCTTTTTCTGGATAGAAATTTGAACTTGACGAGGAGCACAATATTTATGGCTAATCACCGCCCTAGGTTCGCCGCACACCGCCTCTTCAGCCACACCCATTTCTGAATTTGACGGCTGCCTTTGGGAAGCTAAGGAAGTGTATTATGTGTGTAAAATCACTAGGTCATTACAAAGATCTGATCGAAAGTCTAATACGGGAGTACTATTCTTTTGGGAGTACTTTTTTTTTGGGGAGTAAGTACTATTCTTTCACAATACATATTCTGCTTTACTTTTAACTAGGTTTCAAACCCGTGTGATGCACGTGTAATACATAATTTAGCTAATTTTAAATTTGATTCTTTTGAAATCATATATAATGTGATGCAAAAGAAAAATAAACTCATCAGTCTAAATATAAAGTTCGTTTGATAATAGTAAAATTAGCGAAATCAGCTTATTGTACTGAAATTGATTAAATTCGGGTTGAATCACTTGAATGGGCTGAATAGGCAGAATCTCTCGAATCATGAAAAAAATTAAAAAAAAATCACTTGTAAAATAAAGAAACAACTACTACCTCCGTCCCCCTAAGTTTGGGATAAGAGAAGGTGACGCGGTTATTAATAAAAGTGGGTTTATGTGGTTGATATTGAATTGATAAAGTAAGAATAAATTAAAGTAGGAATGATTTCGAGCCACACAAACTTTACCAAATAAGGTATGAGACAATCTTAGTGGGACGGACCGAAATGGTAAAATGGGACAATCATAGCGGGATGGAGGGAGTATATATGGAAAATATTCAAAATGTTCTTTTACATAAGCATCTCAACTAAACACAATTGTGGTAAACCCAATTTTAAAGAATTCACAGAGAAACTTCTTAATTAATCTCATGTCTTCTAAATTATTTTATTATGCACCTCAATTTTTTTTTCATATTCCTCATTGAACTTGGTATGAACTATGAAGTATTTATTTTTAACTTTTAATAGTAGGATCTTACATTTTACTCATTATTTTGTCACATTGAAAATGTAAAAAAATGGAGTGTTTTTTACATTTTACTCATTATTTCGTCACATTGAAAATGATTTTTAATTGTTATGAACGTCTAGATTACTCTATGGGAAAAGTATAGAAAACGTATCTGTGGTTTGGGCCATTTTCAGATAGACGCATGTGTTTCATTTTCTATCAAAGTGAGGCATGTGTTTCAATTCCGTTATCATAGCAGGGGCATGACGTATAACGCCATTAGAAAAATTAACCCCGATTTTAAAAAGTCTCCGAAAAATTAAAAGAAAAATACTGGGAGGTGCGCCTTGTCAAGGAGATCAACGAACTATCTTTATTTTTTTTGTTTCTAGCCACTATATCTCCAGAAAGTCCATCAGAAAATTGATATTAGCGAATTTGTTTTTAAAAAATAATCCCAATAGAGCTGAAAAATCCAGAGAAAAAGATAGTTCGTTGATCTCCTTGACGACGAGCACTTCCCAGTATTTTTCTTTTAATATTTCGGAGACTTTTTAAAATCGGAGTTAATTTTCTAACGGCGTTAGACGCCATGCCCCTGCTATGATAACGGAATTGAAACACATGCCCCACTTTGTTAGAAAATGGAACACATGCCCCTATCTGAAAATGGCCCAAATCATAAGTACGTTTTCTGTACTTTTCCCTTACTTTATTGAGCATTTCAAAATAATATTTTTTTAATATTTCTTATTCAACTTGGTATGAAATACGTATTTTTAAGTTTTAATAGTGACTTAGGTTCTTACATTTTACAAAACTTAGTACTCCGTAGTAAAAATAAAGAAATGAAACAATCCAACATATTTACTTTTGGATAGACTAAACGTATTAACTTGTGAACACACATATGCATGTATGATATCAACTTTCATCCTTATCAAATAATAAAGATAAGCTACTTGATTAGAGGTATTCTCTTTATATGATATTATATGCATGTGAATGTCTAATAGTACTAATTTCGCTTTTAAGTTCAAAAATTTGGTGGTTATAATTTTCATCATTGTGTTAATAATTAAGAAAGAATTATATAAAGATGTAGAAAAATATTAACATTGAGTTTAGAAGAATGAATAAAATATAACATTTTAGGAAATAAGACACTATTAATATTTTTTATATATAAATAATTTTGAAGGCAAAATAAATAGCAATTTGACTGATTTATCTATTTTTTTAAGTAACTGATTTGTCGGTTAAGTGGGCAAAACATAGATACTTTATTTCTTCAATAAAATGTAATAAAAAATAAGAAGTATAACAATAAAAAAATATGTGCTTAGCTTATAAAAGTACTTTATAAAAAGTACTTCATATGGTTGGTTATTTCAATAAAATGTAATAAAAAATAAGAAGTATAGCAATAATAAAAAAATTATACGTGGTTATAAAAGTACTTTCTAAAAAGTATTCGTATGGTTGGTTATTAACTATTGTGATTACAATTAATGAATTTCATAATTATTAAATACGTAATAGGTTTTGAAAAAGTTTCCAAATAAGGTGGATTTTTATCATAAAGTCTTTTGTTTCCATATCAATATGCAATCAAAAATAGAATCTAATAAAATAAATAAAAGATACGAATATTAAAAAAAATTAAATGATGGATGACATGGCATGATTATGTGGCGCTTTGTATGCTCTTAAAAAGTTCCTCTTTTATATATATATATATATATATATATATATATATAAATTGATTAATTTGTACCTGCATATACCTATATGCGGCGGTGATTAGTGTTTTTATTTGGGTGGTTAATTAGCTCTAACCCTATTTGATTTGTGACCCATAATGTTAATGTAGATTCGATTGATTTTTTTGTCATAGCTCTAATCCGATCTATTTTTTCATCATTTGCAATGGAGACAAAGACTCACTATTTTTTTGTTTGATAACATGATGGAATAAGGCAAAATGGTAAACTTAACTGTCTGTGCTTCTTTGTTATGAAGCAGTGATTAGTCTATGCAATTTTGGATGCGATTTCCACTATGGGTCATCCTGCAGAAACAGTTTCTGAGTTTCTCTGTGCTTTAGTACATTGAGTAAGACTGCATACATCCGACTCCCCATTATCCCAACATAGCCTTTGCGGCACAGAGTAATGAACTCCAGTCTTGCACTGATACTTCACCTCGATGCCGTATCTGCGAATTCCGATACGTATCTGATACCAATACCCCAATGCGTATCCTTTGTAAATTATCGTATCGTCGTACCCGTATTCGTGTATGGACGTATCGGCGTACCCGTGTCCGTGCAACATAGATGAACTCACGATTGGATAAGTTGGTCTATACTACATACTTCCTCCGTTCCCTTTTAATTGCAACAGTCAACATTTCACGTTTGCCAACGCACAAGTTTGACCATTAATATCTTTGATTCCTTATTAGTAAAAAATTTTAAAAATTCTTATTTTGAAAATTTAGAATGAGAAGAATTTAATAATATTTTTTAAAATAGAATAAAATAATATTTTATACATTAATGAATAAAATATAGTCAAAATAGAATATGTGAATAGTGCAAAAAGTCCAATGTTGCGATTAAAAGAGAACGGAGGATAATTACGTATGACTTATGTTTGGGAGTTGATACTTATCTTATTGGACCTTAATATATACTCCGTATATTTTTTGCTATACATCGAAAATTTAGGGTGAGTTTATTTGAATTGAAATTCTCTAAGCTAGTTTAGTCCTGTTTCACCTCAAATTTCAATTAAATTACTACCATAAATTAATTTTAGAAAAACAAATCTGAGCTCAGTAGTCTGATACGAAGTATAACGCATTTTAACTGTTTACTTTTTACTAAACTTGTCAAAAGGGCGCGCATTTTGGATTTAATTATGTAAAGCAATTTATACTTCTTCAAAGGGTAAAGAAACTACTACCTCCGTGTTTCCGTCCACTATTCACACGGTCAACTTAAATCATTTTTAATCTTTTACTTTATATATCAAAATTTAATCAAATTTACATTTTTTATCAGGCTTTGTATCGGTTTTAATGTAGTTTCTTAATTTCTTAATATGTAAATTTTATTTACCCAAAAAAAATCAGAGTGTGAACAAGGATTAAGTTGTTTTATCATCAGTCAATCATCGTAAACCATCGACGGGAACCTTCCAACGGGACGGATGGAGTAATAGAGTGTTTCCAAATTGAATGAAATTAAATAAGTATTTCTATTTGCCTCCCAAATGGCAAATACTAGTATATATTTTTGTGAAGCTAGGGAATAGCACGATTAATTAATTTCCTACGAAGAGGATTCATGATAAGCCCTTGTGAACCATGTTTCTATGTGAAAAGAAATGGTGAAGATTGTGTTAATCATTTTATTTATGGATCGATGATATAGTACCATGAATCTTTAAAGAGACAATGATGAAGAAATATAAAGTGATGATCATGGATTGAAGAAAGTGTTGTAAAGCCTCAATGGAAGTAAGTGATCATGTATACCGTTTTACCCCTGTACTAAAGTAAAAAAAGATTGTTTTTGAATGATCTAAAGTGAAAATCACATCCAAAATTGCATTGAGTGATTGGTGTTTAACAACAAAGGAGTGTAGAAGGTTTATTGAGTCATTTTACTTTATATAATCACATTTTCAAGTCAAAAAATAATGAGTTTTTAACTACATTGCAAATGATGGAAATAAAAATACATACCCGGAGTATAAGATATGTTTGGAAAAATTAAGAATGGAGAATACTAGGGTAGTTTCAGCTCACAAGTAACTTCACAATAGGAAATACGACCATTATTTTGGAATATAGATCAAAATGAAGAGCTCTTCAAAAACTTAATTTTGCGTTTGCGCCTAACCAATTAGCATGACCTTGTTAAGAAAATTACCGGGGTTGAATACGGCAGGCATTTTTACAGGGGCATCGAGGCTGACTGGTTGAGATAAACCTTTTTCTACTTCGGCCCATCATTTATATGTCAGTCCTCTTTCTACTTCGGGCCACCAATCATGTAGGGCCCTTTTCTTCATCGGCCCAACTCTATTTCAATTTGAGTCCCTTTTTGCGATCTCCGTCTCATGTAGACCATACCCTTAGATATGTTTGCAAAAAATAAAAAATAAAAAATGTTTTTTCAGATTTTGGCTTAAAAGAGCTGAAATGAATGTTTTCAAATGACAATTTCTACTTAAAATAAACAT